TTTAATGAGTTGCCGTTAGAAGTGAGATTTAATATTATGTCTTTTTATAGTCAAGATATTAACACGAAACAATATAAGAAATTATTAAATCATCCCTTTCCATCATTTGAAACAATTATGAATAATATGTTTATTAAACCATCTATGTATTTTGATAATTCATTTAATAAATCAGATTATGAAATATATATGATATATAAAACCATTTACAACTATTCATATATTAATATGGTAATACTGAATTTTTAAAGAAAATATTTATAAGGAATATAAAACAAAAGGATTTGATGATGAAGACATAGAATGTATTAACTTCTGTTATTGTCGTGTTTTTTAGAAGTTTTTAGAGTTGATAGAGTTAAAAAAATGTTGGTCGCGAATGCCTCACGAGGCATCTGCCGAAGCGTCGCGGTCATTCATTATGTCAATGACTGAGACTATACAAGATAATTTTATTAACGATAATAAAACTACTAATAATGATACAAGGGATGATTATGAATTTGGTCATTACTTGGGGGAATTTGGTAGTTTATTTGATGATTTTTAGAAACCATAATTATAATAAAATTATATTTCATAAGAAATTATGGGGTATGATTATATTATAATTATATTTTTTGTTAAGAATTCTACGAGAATAATGCGAATGCTCGCGAGGCTCTAACGAGCGACCTTGCCCATTTTCGGAAGTTAAGGTGGGTTTTTTGGAAGGGTTTAAGGGTTAAGGCTTTGAGGGGGTGAGTGTTTGAGAGAGAGTTTTTTATTGGATAAGGGTGTGTGGAGAGGTTTGGTGTTAAAGTTGGGTCTTAAAGTGGTTTTTTTGGAAGGGTTTAGGGTAAAAGGTATTATTATAGTTAAATTCTACGAGAATAACCTTGCCCATTTTCAAAGTTTAGGGGTTGGGATCTTAAGGTTGGGTTTTTGAAGGGGTTTAAGAGTGAGAGGTGTGATGTTGAGAAGAGTTTTTTATTAGATAAGGGTATATGAGGGCATTTTTAGGGCGAAAATAGAGGGTTAAATTGGAGTGTAGTTATAGAATGGGGTCTGGAGTAAAGGCGGGGGTCTATCGGTTGAAAATGGGCAAGGTCATTACTAATTCTATCTATTCCCTTACTACTATAGAAATATCATATCGATAAATCTACCAAATCCTAATAATCCTAATATATAAAAAGCTCATATCTGTCATCTATATATATAGATAACTAATGATAACCAATATCCATTTCTCATATGAAAATATATCTGTATGCTATAGCAGTAGCATATACGGAATCATCTTTCTCGATGTAAATAATGACAAAATATTCATATAGATTAAAGATAATCCAAATATCAGTGCTTTTGGTTGTTCGATTCCAGCTATGGTGGAGTCTGGATGGCCTGGTAGCTGTCAAGATCTGTCGAATAAACCGGATCTACATGTGAAGAGAACCCTCTACATCCAAGACTGAGACGCCAACGTCAGGCTCTGAGAAGTTGTCGTACCTCCCTTTCCTCCGAAATGGCGGTCTGCGGCCACGCATTCTGTCTCCTGGTCGCCTCGTGCCAGCAACACGAAGATAGGCAGCTCGTGCGTGGACAAATGGCTTGGTGCTCTGAGAGGCAGACAGTTTGGGATCATCCCATTCTGGTGCCCTGTTGGTCGGCCCCTGTGCTTCACAGCAGGTGCTCTCGCCGGGTGGCTCAAGCGTTGACAACTGCACTTTACGGCCCACAGCAACCTTTCAGTCGAACAAGGCATCCGTGCTCAGGACACGAATTGACATGTCCCTATCAAGCTGCTACCTGCAGCATGCACCGAAGCCCGGAGTCGACGTGTGGTGCAGAGCTAGGCGCGCAGGCCTCTTCCTGCAGCTCTCTTTGCCTGGGGAGGCTGCGCGGATTCTGGTAATGTAGTGCATCTACACTTTTTACAGAATGTATTAGTCTACCTTAGACAGAAAATATTGTCCAGTACATGAATCACACCGAGAAGCAAACGGACACATGTCTGTATCTGTATAGTGAGGTTGAGGCTTTTGCTAAATGCTATGCCATCGCCACGACGCTGCCCTGAATTGAAGCAGACGTTGCACTCGTGGGAAAACAACATAAAAGCATAGAGCATGCTCGTGGTCTACAACAGGGGTAAACCCTCGGCAGGCAGCAAGGCAAGCTGCAAAAACAAGGCAAGGGACCCTGCAAATCGAAATACCCATGTGCCCATTCGTGTGGTCACGCACCTACGTCTACTCCAACTCTGCACAGCACATTCGTACAAGTATACACATGACTTACATATGCGGATGTAGGTAGGTGCAGACAGGTTACAGTGCGAGAGCAAGGCTCCGAACTCGCACGTTGCATCTGTAGCTGCAGCACTCGGGTCGCGCATGTCCGCTCATTTACTCTTGAGGTCCGGCCTCTCCCTTCTTTGCTGGGCAACTTTGGCAGCCACTCTCCGTAAACGTGGCAACTCTGCCTGCCACGGCGGAGTGGTTCATTGCAATGCAATTATCTCGGATTGGAAGTGTGCGTCAATCATCTGCCCTGATCGGTATACAATCCAGTCAAATCGCTCATCGAACATGGGCAGTGTAAGCCACGTCTGCGAACAAAAACAAGAGCCTGCAACTGGAGAAACCGCTCTGGGCCGAGAACTGACCGCACAGTCCCAACACCTTTGTCAGACATCTGAACAGCCGCAGCTCTGCCTATGTTCACTCGCTGAATTTTGGGAAGAAAACGAGGAGAGACAGTGTCTTGAGGAGATGAAGACAATGAATCTTCTCGACGTTGTTTTGCTACGATGTGCAGCGTGCTGCAGATGTTGGAAGATAATCCAGACACAATAGCAAACACTGTCATTGAAGAAAAGCTTGCCTACCCTACCTGCCAGCAGACAAGACTCGCAAGCAAGCAGCACTGGCCACTTCTCTCTTTGAGATGCAAAGCACTCAACTTTCTACATCGACGGCAGCACTAGCCTCGAAGTTGCTTGACAGGCGTGAATCTGTATAAAGGCACTTCGTGATAGCGCAGATCGTGGTGCTGAGCAGGATACGAAAGACCAGCTTTATGGCCTGTTGCATCAAACCTTCCCAGCTCCAATACTGTCTGCAACCACCAGACCTCACCGGTGCTGTTTCTTATGCTGCCACGGCACTAAAGTCGTTGGGCATCATACCATTTGCAAGCATTTCACCTGCAACGGAGCGAGCGATCCCAATGTAGAGCACTTGGACGCGCGACTCGCGAGGCCCAGCGCATGCAACTATGAGCAGCAAGACATGGCGGAGCCGCGCATCATGGATTCAGCCAAATCAGCGTTCTTAGTCTTCTTGCCTCGAATCTCCAGCGTGGGATGCACGATGACGAAAAAAGCGGTGCTTGCCATGTGGAATGGTCGCCCGATCAACAGTCTCGGTCACTGGCACGCTGCAATGACCCAGTTGTAGACTGGCGTGTTGGGACTGAGCTTGGCCTGTCAACTGTAGCCGGATGCTCTGCCAGTCGATGTCCAACGTTAGCAAAAGGGTAAACTTGAACACCTTTCCAAATGGTAAACTTGAACACTTGGCGATGTCATCATTTGCAGAAACATTTTGGCGACACGATAGGTTCTGTTCAAACTATAATTATTCTGCAAGCCAACTATAATAACATCCATACGACTACAGTACAATGCCCGCCTCTGACATGGTTTGTAGCCACGCCGCTGCTTCGCGGTCGCGGTTTGCCCGGGCCAAGCCCGTAATCACCCGCGCCTGACCATGAACAGTTCCTCTGATTCCTTCCACAACGTCCAGGGCTACAGGTCAGTCAAGTCGGTGTCAGGCATTAGCTAATGCGGGCAGTGCTGCAGGACCGTAGGAGCAGTTTATTGTCCGGCTTCAGTCGAGGATAGTCCAGTGACATGTAAGCAGGCCTTTTGTTCAAAACCATAGACCACAGACCATGCAAGATACATATTCAGCTCGGCTCGGCGTAACGTGAAGCCGCAGGGCGTCGGGACAGGTCTCCAGAGCACTGCTGCTGGGCTGTAGGATACCATCACACGCCAAACAAATGATCGTCATAAGAGTAGTGCCCCAGCAAGAGCAGTGATCCGCAGTACTACAAGAAGAAGAGTGACAAGAATTATCATCCTCATCCCCATCATCGCGTTTCATCCTCCTCCAGAAAGGTACACCGTGGCCCCGAGTTCGTCTAGGTGCAGAGTTTGGCGAGTTTTTGCGGATTGTCACTTAAGTTGCCGACATGGAAGGAGATACGACCTACTCGGCCCGGAAAACACTTGAAAATCTGTAGGTCTTCCCAGCTGCACATGTCGATTCCTTTTCCCGCAGTTTATGGAAAGGCAGCAACACTATGACGAGGGTTACAGACTCATGGCGTCTGTAGGTCCGTATACCTTCCAAACAAGATACATGACACCAAAATCCATCAGACCCATTTCGAAGCTTAAACTAAACCCACCAACACTCTTAAATTCAACAGCAGCAAGATCGTTTCGTTGCGATACCAGGTTCGAGATTCATGCCGAGAACGTGGAAATCCAATATTGTCATGATGCATGTCAGTTCAGAAACCAGACTTGGAACAAAACGCACGTTTCCGATGATATTCACAGCGAGGTCTAGAAGTGTGAGTTACGAGACAAACTCCCAGAAGCAATATTGTAATGCATGGCAACACAACAGTCCAAAATATAAAGTGCAGTGCTTCATTGGTATCCGGCACACATGTAGATTATCACCAATGGCATGTCCGTCCCAAATCGAAGACGGAGAGTCGTTGTTTATCAATGGCCAGTGACTGGCTTCGACAAGTTTTTCCACAATAAACTACACGAAAAAAGGCAACAGGGAAGGAGTCTGATGCATGCTTGGAACTTAAACCACTTGTCCACATGTGTTGGACTACATGCAGTGAGGCAATGAAACATATATTTTGAAAAGGAATACAGGGTGTTGATGATGGGTTGCGGTATGTATCCATCTATGCTTGCTGTAATTGGGGGGTCTTCCAGTGCATTTACTACATCATCGGGCCGGCGATTTGTTTGCATTAGCGTTGCTTGTGCTTAACCCAAGCTGCGTCCCTCCGAATTCACCGTTGCTTGTAATGCTGTAATGATATGTTCCACATATCCCGCAAGAGGGCATTTATGTTGAAGAAGCACATCTTGTCATCAGAATGTGCACGTGTGTCATCTTTACTCTTTACCATTCAGTTTCCCAGTGCTTCCAAATGCTTCCAAGTCTCATAAGCAGACGCATCCGGCTTCAGAGACGACTCCTCTGTTCAGCTTTGCGCTGCCGCTTTGCTCGCGCTTCAAGGGCTTACGATGCGTTACCACTACGAATTCAAGCGGAGTCTGAGGCCAGAGATGGCCAGAGTCTAATCCCACAGTGTAAGGCAAGTCTGCCGGCCTCCATGCCAACTAGCGCTTCGATCGCATCTTCCACCAGATTTGCCTGGAATCAACCGTCGGGCAAGCCTTCACTCCCTGGCGCTACTTTCAAAACGGAGTACTGGCTTGGCATCGACAAGCCGACGCACCTGAAGCAACCAACACAGCGGAGTTTGCTGTAAGCATGCGCCACACTCCCGAATCTTGTCTGCAGCGGGAGTGCATGAGACGCTTGTTCAACATCAGAGCAGTCAATCCATCTGAACTACTTGTAGCTGGTTGCCTTCGTCAGCGCATGGATGGTCGAAGAGTAGGTGACCGCATTCGGGTTCACCCTCGCCTGAAGCAGCAAAAGAGAACAGCCGAGTTTCCCACAAATGTGTTATGCCATGCCGTGTCGTGTTGGGCCTCTTGCATCTGCGACAGCCACCGCTTCGCCTGCCGCTGGCCAAAGTCTCATGATCCCCCTTCACGTTTCCATGTGG